ATATATATTTATATTTATATTGATTAATATTTCCTCGTAAACATTTTTCTTATAATTTTTATACAAGTAGTACTCCCAGAACTATTGAAAAAAAGTTTAAACTTCAGGAAAAAAGTCGACTTTTTCCAAATTTTAAGATAATCTTATCTCTTCATTAATATAAATATTTTAATAAGCTGTGTGAAGATAAATTTTTGTCTCCCCTTGAATAAAATCTTGTATACGTCCATGAACAGATTTGCATTTCCGTCCAACCATTGTCTAACTTCACATGCTACAGCACTGTCAAACGTCATCTAACCTGTACAGACATCAAACTGACGACACGACAGGTGAGAGATTCGAAACAAATCAACGTAACTATTTTCTTGTTTAATGAAAACTAACGAAAACAAAAGCATGTTGAAAACAATCGAGTGCAATTGTTGTTTATTATTAATTTAACAACACAGCGGCAGAGAGCGAATCGTGGCGTCACCTGTCAACACGTCGGAACGATGCAGCGTCCTTCTGCCTCCTGCAGCGATACTCCACTCTCTGTTTTGGCGTCGCGTGACTCTACGAGGTGGGATTTAATCGGAAATACGATGACAGAGATTCTACGTTGAGCTATATTTACCGATATCTTATTCCGTTTCCAAGGTTAATTAACGACGAGGAGAACGAGCACCAATCAGTAGAATGAACACTGGGATCTCGGTAGCGGAACACCGATTGAAGATTGAAGTGCGCGAGAGCGTGGAATGATAGAGGAACGAAGACAACAAGCGTGGGAGAGATAAAGAGACATCAAGCAAGGCGGACTAGAGGGAGAGAGAGAGAGTGAGAGCGGAGTAGACTGGAAAGGCGGAAAGGAGACTCGCGAGAGACGCGTCCGTCACGCACCGAGTGTTTGCCTCGGCTAGCCGGAACGAACGCGCCATTTCCCAGGGAGAAAATGAGAACGACGTCCTCGGTAAGCCGATTAACAATGATCGCCTTATCTAATTAATATTGCTCAAGTCGGCCGGGTTAGAGAGAGCTCCCACGAGACCGACCCCCCTCGAGCAATCGTTTGACAGCTACACAATAGCCAAGCTATTTATCGATTTCTTTCGTCGTGGTATCGACCGCAAGACTCATACCCTTGCCTCCGGGGAAGATTTCGACGACTCAACCGCGATCTCGTCGCTCGTTGCCAACCGCGCATCTCTCGCGAATTCGAAACGCCTTGGAGATCGACGGCTTTGAAAACGTCTCTTTTAGGTTATGTTTGTTCCGCGACACTGGCTTTGTTTTAAGCGTTTTAAACCTGAGCTACAAAGTGTTTTTCAACTTCCTGTTTATTTTCTTTTTTTACCTCCTATTCCTTTTTCTTTCTTGTGAACGTTTTAACGACAATCGTGTTTCTTGTCACATGTTTTTTTGTCTTTTTCCAAAGCTTGTCAACTTTTATATCAGGCGACAGAAAACGAAGAAACAGTGGGTGCAAGGATGACATAGTGTAACACAGTGAATCATCATACCCTTGTTTGCCATTAAAGAAATATATTATACTAAGTGCTTTCCACTTAGTGACACAAGTCGATACAAACATCATTCAAACTTTTTTGATATTTATAGAATAACAAAGATAGAACGACATTTACTTTGACTTGTGTTACCAAATGGAAGCACCCATTGTGTCTGGAAAGTACCATGTATTACATTGTGATTGCTTCCCAGCAAGAGAGACACAGTTAATACAGTAAATTATTACTTGTTATTTGTCAATGTTAAACATAAAATGATAAAATGATTATTGTATTACACTGTGTCTTATTAGAAAACACCAAGTATCAGTCTCTTACTGAAAAGCATTAAGTATAAGAACTTTCTTTCTTTTCTTCTTTTTTATATTGGTCTTAATACCTAAACTCGAGGTTGACTTTACTAGTGATACTGTAACATTTTCAATCAATCCACGAAATGTTTGCGTATAAGTGCGCTCGCTAGCATTGTGAGCCTGGAAGACTATTTCCCAAAGCTATTCCCTAGTTTTCTTCTAAAGTATAAGAGTCAAAAAGAGTAAAAAGTGAAAAAGAAACATAAATCAGCGAGCAAAGAGCACATCATAGATTAGGCTAGTTAGATTAGTGTCTCAAGATGTTTTCACTTCTCTCGTGTCAGCTGTAGATTGCTCGAGATAATGCAAGATTTAAACACCGCGAGTTTATCTGATATGAGTCGTCAATCGCACAAGTCTTTTATCCAAACATCTCTTATGTTCAATGTAGATTAACTTTATCTCGATTGAATCCCACAAGTAGAGTACAGGAGTCATAATACTATCATAAAGAATCATCGTGATCTCACTTATGTAAATTAATTTTTAAGTGACAAATAATATCGTGATAACGTCCTTTGATTTCATTATGACTTAATTATGATTCTGTCTTACTTTTCATCTTTCTCTAAAAAATAGGAAAAGATGAAAGAATAAATTAAACCGAGATTAAAGTTAAACTACATTGGTTGAAATGGATATTAACTTAATAGACTATATTATCGTTTTGATGTTTCCTTGTTTCTCCTCTGTCAGTGAAACCATAGGAGGAGGATCCGGCGTAACGCTTGAGAGAGCAGGAAATGTACGTCCCTGAGAGGGAGGAGGTGTCTGAAAGTTGGCTGCATACGTATGACCTGAGCAGTACTATGATTCCCAATGCGAGCACGGCGATGGACGACGAGGAGCATTTCTGCAAGCTTATTTTGTATAAGGAGATCAAGGATTCCAGGTAGGTGATCGCTGCAATCGTGGCAGCACAACCCAGGTAGAACATAAAATCATAATAGTAAGATAATATAAAATAGAACTAATTTTTCAGAATAATCATAATGAGATCATTCGCGATATACTTTTGATAATAATTTTGTAATGAATTCTTTATATGATAGTAATCTTTAAGTGATTTTTTTTTAAGTTAAAAATTCACTTAAAAATCATTATTCTGTAAAGAATTCATCACAAAATCATTATTAAAAATATATTGAATAGAATTATTATGATTTTTCCCAAAATGATTTTTACTAAATATTATCTTAATCTTATGATTTTTATCTGGGGACATTCGATCTAACTGGATAATTTATTCATCGCATTTTGTTCTACAGAGTGCGAATATGGGATATCATCATCCTGGTACCGAATCTATTGTTTCTTCTGTTCATCGCAATGCGATTCAACAGGGCGAGGCTTAAGTTACGTGCAACGAGTAGCCCAATATTTTTAGCATTTTACGGTCTGGTCATTTGTAATGTAGTTATATCAGTAGTGCGCTGCGTCGTGTCGATGACTGTGAACGCGGCGGCGGCGGTCGGTGGCAAGGCCGACAAGGTCCTATGGGTCACAGTGAGGTTTTTTCTACTATCTACCGAGATGAGTGTAGTTATATTTGGTCTAGCGTTCGGTGAGTAGCGTATAAAAAGTCTTTTCGCGAAAAAAGGAAAGAAGGAAACCGCTTAAAAGTTTGAAGCACCTCTAAATTTTGAAAAGAAATTTTAATCAATTTTATTTACTAACATCGTAAATATACGAATGTTTATACTGCTTCAACATAAAATTTTTAATAATGTGTACGTTTAAAAATAACAATTTTTTAATTTTTTATTTTTAATAAAATAATTAAATTTGTAATTATTTTATTAAAAATACATTTTTGTAAAAAAATTTATTTTTGGACAGCGATTTTCAGATCGTCTATGATTTGTTACAATTACTGTAATATAACACATATATCACAGAAAGAATTTACAAGGGTTGAAATCTATGAATGGAAAAGCTATTCAAGATTCTTACTAGTAAATGTAGAATAATCTATTATTTTATTACTATATATTTTATGGATATTTGAAATACTTTTGTGATTTTATTTAAAAATTACAGAGTGCTTCAGACTTTTGAACGGTAGCGTAGCTATTTGCTAACGTGCGAATTATGCTCTCTTAGGTCATTTGGACAGCCGCTCCAGTATTCGTAGAGTATTACTTGCTACATCCTTTATAGCGCTGGCATTTACGATTACTCAAGGAACACTGGAGCTGGTCCTACCAGACGATACATTTCATATTCCCAGCCGCGACTTTTACGTATTCGGTCATGGCGGCATGATGTTTTGGTTTTGCAGTAGCCTCGTTTTCACAACGGTAGGCTTATGCACACGTTGTTTTCTACTAGTAAAAATCGATACATATTACTGAATATATCGATGTGTCACTTTTAGATATATCTCTTTATATTAATACTGCCATGGACACGGTTGCGGGACCGCCTAGCACTTCCTAGTAAGTACCTGTTGTCATAAAGATTATAGTTCCATCGTTGATTATGAGTTTATGATACGCTTTCTATTGTAGCACGGAAAAGTTTTTACGTTTACGCTGGAATACTAGCGACATTGGACTTAGTGCAGTCGATTGGCGCAGGCTTTCTAAACTACACGCAAAATCCAGTGGGATTATGCATCGTAGACTTCACTGCAGCAGTATATTTAACTCTTTTTACCCCTTTGGTTTATCATACATTCCTGTCGGAATTCTTCGGGTAAGTTGTTGTTACTTAGCGATAAGGCAACTTAAGGCTTTTATTAACTTAGTATTACTATCTCTTATGATATCAAAAGCAAGAAAACAGAGTAAAAATTCTTGCAAATTACATTTGAATTCAAATATTTTTCAATAAAATAACATTTATAATCAATAGACTTAATATAAATATAAAATATAAATAGAATATAAAATATTAATAAAATAAGTTTAATGTAAAATATATCGCAAACTAGCTTCTTGTTTAAGGAAGAAATTAAATCTTATTTATTTCTATACATTATTAATTTAACAGTTTGTTACAAGTGTAAACATAATTTATATCATTTTTGTGCTTAATTTTAACTGATATAAGATTTTATTAATTAATGAAAACACACACACAGAAAAGAATTTTTAATATTTTACAGTTTTAGTATTTTGCTTCCATCAATTGTAAATATTATTGTATTGGAACATATTTCCATATTAATGTATGCAAAAATTTTTATTATGTATAGTTTCGCTTTTGATGTCACTATATGAGATAGCAGTGGTGAGTGAACAGAAGATCTTAAACAATTGCACTGTCATGTGTAATTGATACATTTTAGAAATCCTTCTGTTTTAGGGTTTCGCAACCTTCGATAATGTTCTCTTACAAAGCACAAGTGGACGACGCGATGGACGAAGACACTGTGTCATTACCGCACCAACAGAGTTTTTCATCTTTAAAAACCGACAGCGATTACATCTATCAGGTCCATACTCCTTCTATTCACATACCGCTGTATGATTCCCATGCATCAAAATCCTCTAGACCGAGAGCTTCTCTTTATTCCTTAACATCCGCTAAAGATCGCAAAAATAATGACTCAAGTACTTTTGGTTCACCAGTTAAGCCGTATCACTCGACATCCGGTATTAGAAGCTTTGGTAGAGATTCCAGCATAGAAAAAGACGTTTCGGAAGTGGTCGAGTATCCCTTAACCAAATCTACCGCCATTCAAAAAAGCGTCCCGGATCTAAGACTCTCCAGCCCGATCCGAAAAGCCGTTTCTGATACGTACGATGATCCCAGTAGCGTCTCACTTCTTTCGACTGACACCGCTAGTAACTTTTTTTACAAACCAAATACAATTGACAGCAATATTAATTTATTTTCTCAAACGAGGAAAAGTAGCTTAGAGAGTGTATCGTCTAAAACGATCGTAGATCATGTGGCTGCAGTTAAGAATCTTTCGCACGGATACGATAGCTTCTCAGAGATATCTCAGGGTCCAGCATTAGAAAATACGTTACACTCAATTTTGGAGAGCGGGACGCACGAAATCGAAACGGAAGTTCCTAAAAAATCTCGATTAAAGACAACTGACACTGACAATTTAGTCGAAGATGGTACTGCTAGTGCAGATCCGAGACATTTAACGACGCTTATCAGCACTGAGATTTTTAAAACTTACTCAAACGATATATCTCCTGATTCAAACGTCACGCAACAATTACTTCCTAGAACGACTTCCTTTACAACCGGCGCGCACAGAAAGAGTAAGAATGATTCGAAGGAGAGAGAGCCAAGTGGCTTAAGTGATTATTTATTATCTATAACGTCCCCGAAATTTGTGAAACACAAAAGGAGCGAGGCACATCCCAATCCCTCCTCGGATTCAGATTTTTACACGCAAACTGAATCTTTGTAAATAGCTTATTTATATGTACCGCTACAGTCGACTTACTGTGTATGTACATATCGTAGATAGTCTTCCTAAAATTTTACATTAATTTGGTTAATTGTTAATCCTTATATTACAACGAATATGTTGAGATACCATTCAAGAGCTTTATCTAACTGTATATATCTGAGCATGTTTAGAAATATCGTGCAATTAAACGTATTAATGTAGTCACAATGCACTTGGTTTCATTTATTTACACTAACTTCGATCAATCATTCCCTTGAGAACGATATCACTCTGTTGTCTTAGAGATGGAATCTCGTGAACGTTTTCAAATGATATTTCATTACGCGTACACTGTTAGCAATGCTTCAATGTATTATATTATAATAGTTATACACGCGAAACTTGATATTTTATTATTTCAAATGCTTGAATGAATTTTGCAGCTTTGGCTGAATTTTTGCGAGCTTCCGTGTATTGCGCAAAAATATAATCGTTATAGTCTCACAATAGTTTCCCTCCTAAAGCTTCCGTTCTCTTATTGCACTTGTGTGAAATAATATCGGAAGTGAAAAATTATGATAATTTTATTTTGTATAGAAAATAAATTATGACTTCTCATTTCCGAACTAAGAAATATCGAATATCAATTTAACACAAAATATTTAAATAACACATTTAATAGATATATTAAAAATTCACCACAAACTTTAACAAGAATTTCAATAGATCGTTTCCAACATAAATATAAAATGCTTTTTACTGTGTATAATTTCTGATGAAATATCTAAAAAAGTTTAAGATATTTTTTCAAAAATTATAGAATGAGAAATCTTAAGAGTATTTTCACATATATGAAAAATTTTGAGAATAGATATAGACTTTCTCAGTATTTCTGAAAAATGTTCCAATTTGTATAAAAATTCTGAGAAAATTTTTACCAAGGAGTGCAATGAGAAAACAGGACTCTCAATAAATTGATGAACTGATTAATTGATTATGATTAGGAACCTGCCTTGATAAATGCAAAGCGGAATGTTCTTTTTTTTCTTTCCAGAATCACAGTGTTTATGACTCGACCCAGTTTGACACGAACACTACGCCAATCAACCCGCTCTACGCGGCGTCTCTTCAAAGCCCAGATAGTATTACCGGTTATAGTATAGACAGTCAAGAAACACCGAATCCGCCGAATGGTTACCAACAATGAACCGTCGCTCATAATCGATTCGGAGTGTGCTATAAAAACTAGAACGAGCCTGCGTACGAGTTAATTGACGATCAAATTGCAATTTTGCTAAGAGCTTTGTGTGATTTCTACACAAGAACTGTGTTACTTTTCTTCGAAAAAAAAAACATCTCATGCGAGAAAAAGTTCGGGCTCGAAGTGAGATAGCGTGCGATTGTGAATCGAATACGAAAGGATTCTAGTCGCCCTTGGGTATTTTTAGGGCCACGTAATACATTAACGGAGAAAAATACGAATGCTTTCGGTCTCCATGTGATAGTTGGCATCGATGCCCAAATTGTGATTGGAAACGTTGGAAGAAATCTCGCAAAATCTGGAATCTCCAGTTTAGCTTTAGTTTGCTTTACTTAGGACAAATTCTTGAAAGATAATTAGTAATAGCGTATTAATTCACAATAGTTTTGTACTTAAATAGATTTTGAAACGTCAAGTGAATTTTTACTGCACGTAAAAATAGAATATTTTTTTTGGCGATGTTGCGCATTTATCTCAAAAACTAGGTCATTCTAGGATTCGCATATTTCCTCCCAATCGCAGAGATTAATTTACCGCGCTCTCTTCATCCATTTTAATCTGTAACTAAAACATATTAGTGGGATTTTTCCTGATTTTTAATTTGAAATGTTATGCTTTACAATCTTTTATTTCATAGTTTTGAACTTGAAAAAATCTTAAAAAGAATAAGATTAAAAATCTTAGTGGGTCCCAAGGACCCATTTGTTTTATTAACGTCGAAAGAAATATGTTCCTATTACGGATCAAACATATTTTTTATGTAGGTGTAAAATCAGTATATATAGAATAGTAATTAAAAATAAATTCACTTCTAAATGCCTTTGATTAGCGTAGCTAATACATAAATGCGACTTTTAGAATGCCCTATATACACAGTGTTAATCATCATCGCGAAGCATCATCTCTGTCGATAAATACTGTTGTTTTATATTGAGAACTGCAAGGTTGGTGTGCCGGCCGTGGATTCCTAATAAGACGAACAAAACACTTAGATTTAACTTCTGAAACTTGCTTATCGTTTCTCCGTCCTTTTCATCAAAGTGGACGTCGTATCGCCCGAAAGTCCTCATGTTGCGCGCGAAGCGATGCGCAAGCGACAAGCCGGACACTCGCTATTTTCTTACTTTTGCATCGAAAATTATTAGATCGATTAAGGGACAATAGGAGTCATTAAAGTTAAACGTCGCGCGGAGGAAATTTTTAGATGTAAGGAAAAAACTCTTCAAATGCTCCAATAATTACGAAGACTCCATCCATGATGTATATACATGATCTGTAATTCTAGTGTAAAGGATCGTACTATTTATATATCTTAATATATACATATATATAATATATTTATCAATATATTACGTATCTCCGTATCGTAATTAAATTCGTACAACTGTGACAGATCTTAAGATACTAATTGCTCCTGCGCTGCCCGCGTTTTTCGCCTGGACGTTCATCTCGCGCAGGTAAAGAAAAGAGATAGGAGATAAAAAGGAATATAAAATTATAGCATCATAAAAGCGTCCACTATCGTCATTCTCGAAGACGCGTTCATGAGGTTGTAGATTCCTCCGTTTTTCCTAGTGTATTAGAGGGAGGAGGGAATTCAGGAGCGAGCAAAATTAATAGTGATACAACGTAACTTATTTTCTAGCATATAAATTCGTTCGAACTTGTATATACGGTGTGCGTGGAATGATGTTGTACACGATGAATCTCTGTCAATTGCAATTGCTTTTTACCATCTCCGACTATTCGTCATCCTGCACTACTCACGAACGTTACCTACGATCGTTTGACCGTGTGATTTTTTTGTAAGCATCGAGTGCAGTGTATAAGGCAATATATTGTGACCGCGTCATATAGCTATTATATCTAATTTTAAAAAAAAGTAAAATAAACATGAATAACGATCCAGCATATTCAATTTAATTTCTCGATAATCTTATTCTGCCTCCCGATTTTCATCAGGACTAAAATTATGACTAAAAATTAGGTGTGTCCTTATGTACCGTGTGTACCGAAGGATCGTTGACTCGTGTCGCTTTGCACACTGATCGCCGCATTTGACGTCACGAAAAACTTTCTCTTTGCATTAAACTCGGTCAATGGCGTACGTTATTCAACGAGATTCGACGCGAGATTGAGCTCGCGACGTGTCGAGCCTGAAATTGGCAAGTCCAACGTGGTTCAAAGACAAACGTTCAGCAATACAAATAGTTTGATACGTTTGTCCGTGACACGACAATCGTGACAGAAACGCGATATAAAAAAGCGCGAATCGAATAGTAAAGAGTTAATTCTTTATGCAATTAATTGACCGGATCTAAAGCTTGAATTATGCTCTTATCTCGTGCCCTCCTTTCATAGTTTGGATGGTAGGAAAGGATAGAAGTCCCAAATCTTGCGTACTATCGCATCGTCACATGTGAAAGCTCGAAGCACGTCGGGATCTGCAAAGAAAAGACAAAAAAGTAAGATAAATCAGCTGTTTTCTGTCATTTGCGGTAAAAACGTTCGGAAAAGTCAAAGTTAATTAACTTTAAATTTTTGAAGTTAATTTAAGGAGTTAAATTAAAGGATTCCAGTCTGATTTTCTAGATGACAAAATAAAACAGAAATCAAGTATAATAAAATTGCAATCAAGGCTTCGTTTCTTAATTATAAGCTTGATCATAAATGTTTAAATATTTATATTAAAAAATGTCTAAACCACGTGAATGTTTAGAATTATTTATAATTCTAAAATTATTTATAATTAAAAAACGAAGTTTACTTCGAAATTTTATTCTTGATTTTGTAATCCCGAATGTATCAACAGTATACATATATACGATGCAGTCCTCAATTTTGAAATAAAAATCAAATAAAATAAAGAACATGTAATAAAAATATCTTGATACTTTTTATTCTAAATGGAATTCTTTTTAAGTAGTCACTTTGCACTCATTTGAATATTTTTTCTAATCATTTTCACTAACTTCCGTTGATTGATCACAGCTGCTTAAATTTCTGGAATATTTATGTAATTATTTTGATATCCAAACAAAATTATTTTCAGATTTGTATCTAAATTTTTAAATACTTTAACAAAGTTATTCTTTTTATCCAATATTATTTACGACATGACATGACTCTATGTTTGCAGAAAAAATTAAAAAATCCGCTTGAGCGCGCACAAGTTTCATTTGCCTCTCTCTGCGGCGTGGAAGGCTTACAGTTCATTCCGTCCAAATTGTATAGTCGTTAGATCGTCAGGGTCAATTTAAATTTGTTTACTGACTATCAGTGCGCAAGTATTCCCGTAGGGGCCCGCTTAGTATGGCAGCCGGCACCGCCAAACCCATCCGCGGGTAGAGTATGGTGCCATCCGAAGAGAAGACATTGCATACGACCATTCCCAACATATCCCCGGTTGCACGATTGATGATCGGTCCGCCGCTGGTACCGCTCTGGACGCAACAGGTCGTCAGGAGTGCACAGTCCATCGACTTGGAGACTATGCCACCACTGATAGTCGGCCGGATGGACGAGGAGAACGGAAATCCTATGGAAACTATCGGCTCGCCTGCAAGCACACGAAACGCACTTGTTAGCTCGAATTGTCCATCGAGTGTCCAGAATGTGTAGTAATTCAATCCGACGTTGCTGAAATGGGAATGACTCTAGATATTATAAATATAGTTCTCTAGTAACAAAAATGTTATATATTATAATATTTTTAAGAACTAATTGTATTATAAAAATTTCTGAAGAAATATCTTAAACTTAAAAAATTATAGGATGAAAAATTGTAGAAGTCTTAGGATATTTTAGAATTCATAAGTATTGTATAAAGAATTCTAGAAAATATATAGACTTTTTTTTCAGTATTTTTAAAAAGTGATTTAATTCGTATAAAATATCTGACAATCTTTTTAAAAAATTATAATTAATAATTTGAGTATCAACGTAATTCTGTTTATTTTTGCTCGCAAAGCGAGTGCTTTTGAAAATTCTGCGTCACTGTTCATGTAACATGCTCAATAAAGCTCTTATAGAACGTGTGGCAATAGACTTTTATTGCGATCGGGTAAATGGGATGACTTATGTGTCGGTTTCT